TGATTTAAAAAAAAATTATGTCGTTTTCCCATGGAAATCAAAGGCAAAAGATCGCACTACATTATCGGTAAATCTCTTCCGTGTTCACCATGAGGTCGCTGAACTGTCATTAACATATTTAAATGAGCTATGTAATTTAGACACGTGGGCACCATCCAGCATTTTGATTGGTTAATTAGCGACTTGACCTATCCGATCAATAATACGTCCCGTGAGCATTCAAAAACATGGCGGATATCGTATCGGCTGTTTACATGTGACTGAAATCATTCGCTTACGGGGAAACTAAGTTGAATTTTACTTGCATTTTATAACAAATCAACAATTTATTTTTTGTGCGTTATTGTAATCACTACTAAATAATAATCACGAATATCAACACTTCGAAAACAAGTAAGTTATTCACTTGTGACCAGCAGCATGGCCGGATCGAGCTATTGTTATGTGATCATTTGCTACTAAGCAGTGCATTCGTGTTTTTATTTGAAACTTCTGTTAGAATATACTTTTCGTTACCAAGAAAATTAAAAAAATAAATGCATATTACATTAAAAATACCGAGTATTTTTTGTATAATGTTGAATTTTTTTTTGATTGACTGTAATTTTTCAACATTTCGTAACGCCTATTTTAGAACCAAAATAAGGCCTTTCACTCTTCCCCGATGCCTATTCAAGAGATTGTACGGTGTATTGTTTGTTTTGTTCATGTGTTGTGGACAAAAAATGACCACGCCCATTTAGTGATTGCATTATGTACGTAATAGAAACCGCACCCTGAACTTGAGCTTTTGATCCCAATTTTTAAATTGATACATTGTAATATAAACCGCGGTTTATAATAGGACTTTAACGGTAGTACCTATATATGTAATATCAATGCAATCAGACTTGCCATTTTTAACAAGAAGTCAAAAATATAACTTTTTACCAAAAATGACAAAAATATTCATCGAAATTAGAGAATTAAAGATATCATCACGAAATGAACAAATCTGAGAGAGGTCCACATGTAGTACCTATATATTTAATATCGAAGCAATCAGACTTGCTGTTTTTTTTACAAGAAGTCGAAAGTATCATTTTTTACCAAAAATTACAAAAATATTCACCAAAATTAGAGAATTAAAGATTTCATCACAAAATGAACAAATCTGAGAGAGGTCCACATGTAGTACCTATATATGTAATATCATAGCAATCAGACTTGCAGTTTTTAACAAGAATTCAAAAATATTACTTTTTACCAAAAATATTCACCAAAATTAGAAAATTAAAGATATCATCACGAAATGAACAAATCTGAGAGAGGTCCACATGTAGTAGCTATATATTTAATATCAAAGCAATCAGACTTGTGGTTTTAACAAGAAGTTGAAAATATCACTTTTTACCAAAAATGACAAAAATATTCATCAAAATTAGAGAAGTGAAGATATCATCATGAAATGAACAAATCTAAGAGAGGCCTACTCAAGATACATATACACAAAGTATCAAAACATTCAGGCTTGTAGTTTTCAAGAAGAAGTCGAAAAAGTAAAACATTGACACAAACGACGGACAATCACTCATATGATAAGCTCCACTCGACAAAGTCGACAGCGGAGCTAAAAAAAAAGTGAAATTGTAAATAAACTTACTGAGTTGTAAAATTTTATGAGATCTCCCCGGTCTTCATCATCAAAACAAGAACCAGTACCTGCTAGTCTTGTCGGTGTGGGAGGGGCACTGTTAGGCTGCGGCACAGGAAGGGTACTAGTAGATCTGATCTGAACAGGGCTGCCTGATCCGTTGCTACCTGCAAAAGTTTAATGAATATACTTAGTTAGGCGCACAACTGTCATGATAAATCTAAGAGAGGTCATGTACTTGTTCAGAGTCCGACTACTATTAGTTATCAATTGTTTTTTAAATATAAGTTGGCAATATGTTGAAAACACAACAGAGTGAAAGACAAAAGAAGCAGGTGTCACCAGGACGACAGCTGGTTATCAGGTCTTGTTCTTTTTCATCCAAAGCTTCAAGAATACAAAAATAGTTGTTTCCCTGGTAACACTTTTAACTGATATCATTGAAAATGTGAATCTTCTAGTATTATTTTTCTGTAGATGGTTTTTAATCCTGCATTTATTAAAAATATGGCAGCAAACAAACAAACACGTTTGTTTCTAGTACTTGTAGTGTACATAATAATTGATTAGTGTCCAATTGGGTTATTTAGCCTATCTGGAAAGTTCCCTGTCATATTTTGCAGCCCTATAAACTTGGTTGCCATGTCAAAATTCCTGTTGAGTGGGTCTCGCAACACACACATGTGATGTAACAATTATGTGTACCGAAAATGTCCGTCAACAGAGTTGAGGAAAAATAACTAGAGGATTATGGGTAATTGTAAATTCAAAGAACAGTCGTACCTGTTTGTTGCACAGGCGATCCGTGCCTACTTGTGCCATTTCTCATACTGCCATCACTGCTATTGGAACTATGTCGTCTTCTACTCGTCAACAAGACGCTTCTGTAAACATGGCTGGCTGCTTGCGGTTGAAGACGATAACATTTCATAATCTCCTGGAATGTTCGGTCTTGCGCAGTCACCTAAAAGCAGTGGAAGAAGTTTATTTAATGATATTGCACATAGTATTAGTCCTTGCCCAATACACAAGAACAAGTTTAAAGAGGATATTTTGTTATAGTTTGGGAGTTATTTTTGTATTATAGTACATTATTATACATCTGTCACTGTAACACCATATGTTACAGCGTGCTGTAATTTTGGGGGTATTTTACAGGGTATTTTCATCTTGCCATACAAGGAAATGCAAATTCCAAATATGGAATGATTACGCGTGTAATCGTCCTCTAATAATAGAAACAACATCAGGGTTTGGCCGGACTCCACACAAAGGAGTTTGCTGATTCTAAACTTTTTGGATTTCTGCACTCCCATGATGTATGCTTGGAAGGAAAAGATGTATAATAATAAGGTATTCTCGTAATAACCTCATAGTATTTAAACCATACTTCATGCGTTGAGTGTTTTACAACATGCTTCAGTGTACAAACAACAAACAAACAAACCAAAAATTTTGTTATGCATGTCCAATCTAGTGCATCATGGGAAAACCATGTAATCAGTAGGATATGAGCGAATCTGCCATAAACACGCTGACGGCGTAGTTAACTCACCTTACAGATAACGTAGACTGCACACATTAACAACTGATCCAAATGACGATCCATCATTAAATCAACACTATGCACTAAAGAATGTTCAAAACACGTCCAGATCTTGCGTCTCAGATCATCCACAATTTCCAGTCTGTTGCAAAGTTCAAGAAGCCTGACATTGGCAAGATGGTACACCTGGTTGGTATAAAAAGGAAAAGCAATTATAAAATTTATTCAAACACAAACGCAAGTTTTCTTCAACACAAACAAATATACCGAATTCAACTCAATTTACTTACTTATTTACGTACGTATTTACACACTTTCTTCTATGCTATCGATAAAGAGCCATTGCTCAAAACGTCTAGCTATTTTTAATAGTTATTTAGGACTACGATTACCAAATATTATCTTCTATATATCAATTTACATACGGTACCTTTCTAAAGAAAAGTCCAAGGGACCCTGTTCTTTTGGGTTTTACCGACGGTGCTTGTTTAGACGGCGACATCTCGACACTGGACGATGCTGAAACGGACCCTGTAGTTAACTGCACTGGAATGTATGTTATGGTACCATTCTCATTCCGAACGCCTACATTAACGAATACATAAGCAACATTAGACAGTCACAACTAGTTTGGAAAGTGGCTTTTACTATAGCGTCTTTGCCTTATTAGTAGCACAAATGCTTGCGTAAATTGTGTTTCTATAGTCCAAGTAAGTAATATTGAAATGATTCAGTATACAGCAAATGAGTGGTTTATTTGCACTTTTATTGGAGATATACTTTTAATAGAACAAATACGGTATATTACAACAGACGTTTTCTCTTACGTGGTTCTCTTACCTTGGACTGGAATCACAGTTTGTCCCGCAACAGCAACACTCTGCGCAACTGCAGCCGCTGCAGCATCCGCATTAACCACTGGGGTCGGAGGGGGTGTTGGCTGTATTGAAACAAGAGGTGTCTCTGTGGTTGGTTGTTGTGAGGACGACGTACTAGAGGAATCGTTGAATAGCCGTCTCCTTGCGCTGCCAGCTTGCGGCGAGCTGAATCTATCTAGTACAGACATCGGCGACTGCGGAACGTCTGTAAGAAAACAAATGTTTCCAATTTTATAAAAATCAATAAATGATTTTGTCATGCGTGTGTGTGGGTTAAGTTGAGTTTTGAACTATGATTGCTATAGTGACTGTCCAGATGTTAAAAATGAACAAGTCATTGAAGATGACACAGTCCCCTTTTTTCCAAATGATCTTTCATTAGCTAAACACCAGGTGGACTATGTGTGAAGAAATAATCTTGTACAATTGAAGAAAGTAATGACCGATGTAAATGACATAATGCAAGTCTTGCCTTTTGAAAAAGGTTAGAGAAATATAAATGGCTCTCAAGCTTAACACAGTAACACAAATAATTCGTGGAGCTATGCTATTAAAACCAGGTTTGAATTTGTCAATTCACAACAAAAACCAGTTCCTGAATAGCAGAAATGCTTGATTTTGATGAATTGTTGCACTAAAATGGCCGCCATTTTGCCATGTTGAATTGGACCGTCAAATGTGTACATGTGTGTGTATGTGAAATAATGTATATACCGTAAAAACTCCAAAATTTCGACCGGTTTTAAATAATTTGTTTTAAAAATGTGACATGTTTTTAGAGTCAAAATAAAGGTGCATTTTCGGACGGTCGAATTTTTCAGAATAGAAATCAGCAAATGAAATGGGGATGATAGACAGTGTGCTTCGTTAGTTTTTAAAAAAATGCAATGTCCGTCAATTGACGTAAACTTCCCCATGTTTCACGGTAAAAGCAAAGGTCGTGGCCGAGTTGTACGCTAAACAACTCAAAATC